CCTGGATTCATGTCTAGTACACATTTGGTCACTGAACTTCCCTTGCAATGGCTTGAAATTTTAGGGTAGCTGTCAAGTTTCAACTAGAAACAAATTGCTTCAAGTCTTTCTTTTCCAATGCATATTCCATATGGATGCCATATGGACGTAAGCACTGATTTATCCATGACACTTTTCTGCTCAATAACCTTCATTGATTATTGCTTTTAGGATAAAATGTAAACTCCTGATTTGAGCATCTAAAACACTTTCCAGTATGGCTTCAGCCTCCTTTCTAGTCTTATCATGGATTATGCCTTCTTGCCCTCTTCTTATACTCTGTGTTCTATTCTTAATGGTCTTTTGCTTCTTCCCTGAATTGGTCATTCCATCTCCTACCCCTCTTTCTTTGTACATATTGTCCTTCATGCTTCAGATGCCTTATCTCCTCAACTCTACCTCTTAGAATCCTTCCTTCAAAGCTCAACTTATGTAACATCTCCTTTGGGAAGATTTTCTTGATATCTTCTAGTTGTTAGTGCTTTTTCTCCATCCTTAAATTATTGGTGTTTAAGCATGCATATGTGTGTATGATCTGTTTACATACTGCATTTCTGCAATAGAATATAAGTAAGCTCCTTGAGAGCAGGGGCTATTTTTCAGTTTATCTTTGTATCCCCAATATCTAGCAAACTGCCCTGCACATAGAAGGTACTTAATAAGTACTTGTTGGATTAGATAATATTACGACTCTGTGATGGATTCTATGATTTCTGTCAGAAAAGCATCTTAAACTTTGAAAGTCTCAACACCAGATTCTCTTTAAGTAATAAAATTTTCAGACATAGCATTCGTCACAGACACCATCCGCCAAGTCATTGAGAAATTATAATCTGTTTCAAATGAAGGAAATACCCTTTTCCTAATCCCCACCCCAAAAAACAAATAAACAAGCAAACAGACCTCAACACATATCAAGTATCTAGTTTCTGGAGTTGTGAGGGAAGTGATTTGTGTACTATATAAATGAATTGTTATTTATAAGATCAAAAGGTCATAGATTAGAGCTGGCAAGGGACTTTAGAGGTCATATAATTGAATACTCTAATTTTAGATAAGAAAGCTAAGATCTAGAGAAGTTCAGTGACTTGTCCAAGTTCATACGAATGATCTCCTCTGATATTGTTGACATGGATATAACCTTGAGCTTTCAAAGGCAATAACAACAAGATGCAAGCTTTAGTAGGTCCAACAAAACTAGAAGGTCTTAGCCCAGTGATGGTCTGTAATGTGTTTGTCATCCAAGGACAAACCCAGCAAAGTTTGGAGAGACTCCTCACCAGAAAGTTGGCTACTAGGTCTTGAAATCTTTTGATCTTAGCAACTAATAAAACTAAAAAGGTGAGATATGTGTTATGGAAGGAATTGCTCAACTCTAATGAGGTGACAGATTCTTTATTTATACTCTTATTAATTCTACTACTGAAAGTAGTAAAACAACTAAAATGTTGTGTTCTTCTAGTGGTAGGTCACTAGTGCATCTTCATAAAGGAAGTACGATATTTTTACGTTTTTATTTTAAAGATCTCAGGGAACTTCAAATTTCTAAATATACTTTTATGTTTCTAAGGATTATTTTTGTGCACATAAATACCTTAATACTGGGAAAAGTTTCATGTGGGTTTTGTAATTTGATTTGTTTTACATAGTTAGAAATTTTTAAGGACCTGTTAATTCCGAAGATTTAACATTTTTGTTTTACTTAATAAGCATTTACAGTACATTTATAATGTAACTCCTGGACTTTTGAAGGCATTAGTGTGTTGCATGGCAATAATTTGTAATTAAGCTTTCATATATGCACAATGTTGTGCATGTATATGCAGAAAGTTATTTAGATCATTGCCCTATCAATGAGAAATATTTGAGAAAGAATATTTTTGTGGAAAAAATTATAAAGGAGAAGATAATAGTCAAAAAACATTTATTAAGTGCCAACCTGTGTGCCAGATACTGTCCTAAGTGCTGAGGATACAAATACAAAAAGAGAAAGATGCCTTTCCCCTCAAGCAATTTACAATTTAACAAAGGAAGAGAGCACACAAAAGGAACCTGAAAAGCTTTGGGGGGTAATGGGGAGATAAGGTACTTGAAGGCAGGGTGAAGTCAGTCAGAGAAGTCCCAAAATAGTGCAACCAGATGAGAAATGAGATTTCTGAGTAGAGCTCTCTCCTTAAGTGGAGGTTTATATTTGTGACCCCACTCTCCAGTCAGAGAGGCAGAGGTTAGAGATGAGGTGGAGAACCTAGGCAAATGAGACCTTTCAGGATGATGAGATTATCCCACTAATGAATTTCCTGGGGCATGGTGGAAAAGTCAGTTAGAGAAGTCCTAAAGTAGTTGAGCAAGGTGAGAAATGAGGAGATAAAAAATAATCATAAAGCCAGCAAATAGTTTTGTAGCCTTTTCTTCACATTTTATTTACACATTAAGGACCAGTTATTTCTTTTTTTTTTTTTAAATTTAGTTGGGAATGGGGTTAAGTGACTTGTCCAGGGTCACACAGCTAGTTAAGTATTATGTGTCTGAGGCCAGATTTGAACTCACCTCCTCCTGAATCCAGGGCTGGTGCTCTATCCACTGCGCTACCTAACTGCCCCAAGGACCAGCTATTTCTAAAGAAAATTTTTGTATCTTTTATTTTCTCCTCACCTACCTTTCCCAATGTATCTGTCTTGCTCTGTGCTAGTCCTTATAACAGAGAATAAAAAAGATGAAAAAAAAACTGATCAGCAACACTGACCAACATATTTTAAAAAGTCTGATGTAAATTATAAGCAGTGTTTGAAACACATGGTGCCCACCTCCGTATAGAAAAGGAGGAGGTTGCTTATCATATTTCTCCTTTGGGGAGCTGCTATTGGAAGGACCCATTATTTCATCAATATGGGAACCAAGGCCAATCCCAAGTTATTATTAATTTACAGTCTTAGAAAGTCTACCAAGAATAAGAGAAATGACTTGGCCAGCACCATACTGCTTATAAGCATCAGAAGTGTCTACCTGGCTTCATGTCTAGTACACATTTGGCCACTGAAGTTGCCTTGCAGTGGCTTGAAATATTAGGGCAAGCTGTCTAGTTTCAGCCAGAAACCAAGTATTTGAAAATGCAGAATCAAAAAATTCTGTAAGTATTAATAATCTTTTATGGTTGGTTGATTACTTGGTGAATATATTTTTATTCATCTTGATAGCAACATTAGAGAGCTCCAAGCAAATTTAAATAATATAGTTTTAATTCACTTATTCCTACCTTCACCTTAAGAATTAGAGATTAACAATAAAGAAGCTAGCATCAACATATTATCCAATCTTAAAGTTAGCAGGGAACTGATAGGATATACCTGAATCCAACCTATCCCTGTAAAAGAATTCCCTCTGCACCATAAGTGACATATGGTCATTCAGCCTTTGTTTGAAGTCCTTTAGTAAAAGAGAACCTACTGCAACCTGAGGTGTTCCGTTTAGTTTTTGAATAACTCTAATTGTTAGGAAATTTTTTTCGTAAACCTAATTTACCTTTTTAGCAGTCCGTTTCTCTTAGTTTTGCCCTCTGGGATCTAGTTGGAAAAAAATCATCCATCTCCCAAATAATAGCCTTTCAAATAATTGAAGAATTAATAATCTAAATACTTTAAAAGAAAAAGCTAATTTAATTACAAGAAGAAGTATACTGTAAAACCATTTGGAACTACAATAAAAAATGAAAGTAAACCAGATATACTTTTTGACCCAAAATTATCGCTACTAAATATATTCTCCAAGGAGGTCAAGAGAGAAAGATCCCACATACAGAAAAAAAAATATTTATAGCCACTCTTTGTTGTAGCAGAGAACTGGTAAAAAAAAAAAAGGATACCTTTGAATTATCTAATGGCTTACCAAATTGTGGTATATGAATAAAATGGAATATTATTGAGGTATAATCACTGTGACTGAATAATTTATAGAAACTTGAGAAGACTTGTTTGAACTGAGACAGAGTAAAGTTAGGAGAACCAGAATAGTTAAAATGTTTGCTGACTTCAGTAATGTAAAGGAAAACACCATTGAAAGACTTCCAAACTCTGATCAAAGAAATGACTAATCTTAACTTCAGAAGACTGATATCTGCCTCAAGATAGAGAAATGGTAGATTATAGATGTGGAATTAGGCATAAATCTTCAGACTTGACTAATATATCGATCTGTTTTGCTTAACTTTGTAACTTTGTCACAAAGGAAAATTTTCTTGATTGGGGAAAAATAACCAGGGCATAGTAATGATAGAAAAAAGCATGAATAAAACATTTTAAAGTCATTTAACAATCACATAGGTTCATTTAACTTAGACATGATAATAGGTTTTTGTTTTTGTTTTGTTTTTGATAGCAAATACTAATTAAAAGAAAAATATATTCATAGCTTCTTTAAATGGGTTTCCATGCTCCCAATTTTTATAATATCAATAATATTGAATATTATAAAGGATCTTGATCTGGCCTCTTTGTTGTTTTTGTTGGTGTTGAATATTTATATTCTCTGGTTATGCTGTGGTCCATAGGGGTTACAGAGATTCAAGACACAACCAAACAACAATAATTTATATATTCTGGTGGAATATGTAGAACTTTGGAACTAAGTAATTCTAGAAAAAATATTTCTTCGTATGTTTTTATTTTAAGAAGATGGAAGTTTTCATATGTTCAGAAATTTTGAGGGTGAATAATATTTCTTTTGCCTTATACATTAAAACTAAATCTTTTCATGATGTTAATAGCCACATGTCATTTTTAAATCTTAGCAGATTTATAATTTTTAATTATTGAGTAAGAATTTTGTAGAAAATTTGTTAAACCTTGGTGTGTAATGGCCCCAATCTACTTTACAGTCAGTTGGTATTCTTTGTTTAATAGCCTGTGGCATAAATTGAAGTTAATTATCGGGGCTGACAAGTAACTCTGTTTTCTGTCTGCTTGCAGAGTCTCTCTGAGGCAAAGATGGAGCTGAGAAGAAAAGATCAATCTTTGCGTCAGCTCAATAGACATCTTACCCAGCTGGAGCAGGACAAGCGGCGACTAGAGGAGAGCATCCATGATGCAGAGAGTGCCCTCCGCATGGCAGCAAAGTGAGCATGCAGACCTTGGGGAGATCACTTAAAACAGACAAAAAGATCAATTCTTACTTTCATGAGCAGGGTTTTAGCCCTAGATAATACAGTGCTAGCAAACAAAAGTACAGCTATCTCTCTTTGAAATTCACGGATACAGCCTTAAAAAAAACCTCTTTGCTCAACATAGTAAGGGTGTATGCTAAGGAGAAACTTCAGAAAAGCATAAAAGTCCTGTACAGTCTTATAATATACACATAGTTTTGGCTTTCTGTAGTCATTACCTCTTTGAAACTCTTGTGTTACTGAGTATGAAATATTTGATTCATCTATTTAAAAGTCGGATCTTATTTACTAATCTTTCTCACATACTTCTCTCAAGATTGGTCCATATATCATTTTGTACTATAGTTTACAAAACATCTGTATGAGTAAATGTTAAGTAAGTTATGAAGATCAATATGTTTATTATGGAATTTTTAGTGACAATATCAATATGTAGGAAAATTTTTAGAAAGAGGCTTCATTATGAATTTTAGTTTTTCTGACCTTATATAACAATTGAAATACACTTTATGAAGAAAATAAGAGATTGAGAAACTGCATAAATGTACAAAGTATATATTTTGTATTTTTAACAGTAATGAAATTGAAATCAACTATAAAACTGAAACTGAAAATTTTTCTTGGTACTTTTATTTTTCTCTCCCATAGGATTCTAAAGAAAATTAATTTTTCCTTGTACAATGGTATAATATAACAATAACCTGCTTAGAGTATATAATAGTATTATCAAAATTTATGTGGTAATGACAATAATATCTTATGACAATATTATCACAAAACTATCCTGAAATAAGAGGGAAACTACCAGTTTAGATCTCAGGGAAGGAAGTTAGGAATCTTTGGCTTTCCATCTGTAGATTCACTCCTGGCTAGCTTTGGAGAAATCACTTTTGCTCAAATAAAAGATTAACTGATAAAAGGCCAAATCATATTACCCATGTACAAATAATAATTTATATCTTATGAATATATCTTTGTGTGTGTGTGTGTATTTTTTTTTTGTCTATGTGGGGAATGCTACCGTGTAGCATTCCCTCTGTTGATAAGTTGTTGCAGCTTATTTTTAATTTATAGTTTAGGAAGTTATTTGGGACACTAAGAAGTTAAGTAACTTACTGCCTTTCACATAGCCAGTGTATCAGAGGTAGGGTTTCAACTCAGATCTTCCTAACTCCAAAGCCGGCCTTCTGTCCCCTTTGTCATCTGCCCCTCAACATGTCTACCGATCTTATCCAAATAGACTTATATGTGTGTATTTTTATACATATGTATATATTCATATGTAGAGGCAGTATAAGGGAGAGGCAGAATGGCATAATGTTTATGTAGGTATGATACAAAATCTTGTAGGAATATAACATTGTACACCCATGTTTTTATATGTGGAAGTGTTAATTTTAAAAATTCATATAACTTAATATTTTTGCCTTACAGTTTTCCCAGTTCTCTAGTTAACTAATGGTAACTGTGTGAACTTGGAAATGTCACTTAACCTTTCTTAGTCTCTATTTCTTCAACTGTCAGGTGAGGTGATTAGAACTCATCACCTCTAATTCCTTTCCAGTTATAATTTTCTCTGATTCTAAGAAAATTAGATGATTTAACTTTATTTGTAAAGTTCTTTTATGCTGAGGAACAGGAAAACTCAAAAACATTGTTATTAGGATTTTGTACAATCTGTATTTTTTATTTTTATACAATCTGCAATCTATATCCCTCTAATAGGAGAGCAATGCAATAGTAGCTAATTTTTATAAAATAGATCTTTTTTACCTTTAGTAATTGTATTCATTAACTATTTTTAAAAAATCGTATACATCTAATAAAAGAAATACCATTTCATGATAATTTCACATATTCCTAGTCAAAAGCAATGATGTAGATTTTTGTTAAATTTTTATGACACAAAAGATGATATACGAAGAGCGAAGTCTATTTGGGTAATATTTGTATTCGTAATGTATTGGCACAAATGTGATTTTGAAAGTATTTTTCATGAGAGTAATTGAGTCTTTTTAGCACATTTTCCATTATGAACAATAAGCTTATTTTTTTAACTTGAATCCGTGAAGTCTTATCCTTCCCATAAAGTTCTCCTTCTCTTAGTAATTTGGCAACTTAACAGTATGAATTAAGCAAGGGGAGGAGCAAGAATGCTATTAATATAGTCAATCTACACATTTTTGAGAGAACATTAACATTTATTCTTAATAATAATGATTTATATTAGTTTATTACTGCTTTAATAAAGCTTTTGTTTACATAAAACCTAGTCTTTTCCTTTTCTTTTTCTAGAGACAAAGAATGTGTTGCTAATCATATGAGATCAGTGGAAAGTGCTCTGCATAAGGTAATAATATTTATTTTTATAATTTTATTCAGCTTTGTTATTATACCATTTATTTGGCTTTGTTTTATTAAAACAATGAAGTATTTTTGCTCATTTGAAAACTATTTTTAATAAAATCTTTATTAATTAGTTATAAAATACTATAATATTTCAAAAGACAAATATATTTATTACTTTGATTGACTCAGAATTTATACAAATGTAAAAACTTTACCCCTTGAGTATTCTTTATTGTCTTAATAAAATTATAGAAATGAAAATTGTCCCCAAACTGCTATAATTGCACTTGAATCATTTGTAGTCTTTGCTGAATGAACTAGAGGTCGTTTAAGAATTTCACATGTCTCCTAATCATAAAATGTTTGACCACATACTCCATCTACAGATGGAGTACTGCCCTAGAAAAGAGACAATATATTGCCTTTGTTAGTGCTTAGATAACTTAGCATGACTATAAACTTATTTAATTAAAATTTATCCTCATCCTTTATAAAAATGAAATAAAATAAAAAAGAAGAGAATAGAGATAGAAAATGTAATACTTAAACTAGTATCTTTTGTTTTAAGATTTATACATTTGAACTGTTTATATCTTTATTTGTACACTTGTACATGTATGCGTATATAAATATATATACACACATATGTATGTATATATGTATATGTATATATTTGTATGTATATGTATATATTTGTATGTATATGTATGTATGTATGTGTATTTGTGTATGTATATATATATATATATCTTAGAGCTGAAAGAGAATTTAAATATCTTCTAGTCCATTATCATCATTTTATAAAAGAGGTAACTGAGATCCAGACAGATGTAGTAACTTACTTAAGATTATACACCTAGTGATTGGCAGATTTTGAAATGAAACCCTATTTTCTTGACTCCCAATCTCATGTCAGAGGCTGGCTGAGGCTACCCAGCCAGGCTGGAGGGCAGAATGAGGAACTGTGGTTTCCATTCACTGATTCTTAGTAGGAATGAGTCTGTAGAAGGAGCTGTAGAAGAATGGGAAGAGCATAGGAAGAAATCTTGTGGTTTGTATCAAAGAGAATCACTTCATAAGAATTCAGGAAGGCGCTTGTGTATGTGTGTTTGTGTGTGTGTGTGTGTGTGTGTGTGTGTGTGTGTGTAAGTAAATATGCCAGGAAATGGCAGATAAGGTTATATCAGGTAACCAGGAGTGGGTGTTTGTTGGCAGGAACAGCAGGAGATTATGGAGCTTATATTGTTCTACAGGGCAACTCTGAACACTGAAAAGGGCAATTTAGACTTGTCTTTTTCACTTGTTGCTGCCTGAGTGTACCTCATCTCCTCACTATCTCTCAACCTTCCCGTTTCCATTCTGTTGTCAGGGCCTGTCAATTTTGTAACATCTCTCGAATGTGCCCCCTTCTGTCCTCTGACACTGCCACCACTCTGGTGCGGTCCCTTGTTTCCTCACACCTTTATTATTACAGTAGCCTGCTAGTGGGTCTGCCAGCCTCAAGTCTCTCCCCACTCCAATCCAAATGATTTTCCTCAAACACAGATCTAATTGTGTCACCCCCCCTCCCCCCCATCCCCACTCAGTAGGTTCCATTGGTTCCCTATTGTTTCCAGGAGCCAATATAAAATGACCTGCTTGGAATTCAAAGCCCTTTATAACGTAGCCCTCTCCTACTTTTTCAATCTTCTCACACTTCACTGCCTGATGTGAACATTTCAGTCCAGTGACACTGGCCTCCTCGTTGTTCCACAAGACACTCCATCTTTTGGCTTCCAGGTATTCTCTCTGGCTGTCCCCTATATCTGGAATGCTCTCCTCCTCCACTCTGACGACTGGCTTCCTTTAAGTCTTGACTAAAATCCTACCTTCTACAGGAAGCGTTCCCCAACCTCTCTTAATTCCAGTGCCTTCAGGCTTTTAATAATTTTCTATATATCCCTTATATAGTTTGCCTTGTAGTTGTTTCTTTGTTGTCTCCTCTGTTAGAATGTGAGCTCCTTGAGGACAGGGACTGACTTTTAACCTCTTTTTGTATCCCTAGTGCTTAGCATAGTGCCTGGCTCTTAGTAGGTTTAATGTTATTGATTGACTGGCTGATTTATACTTATATTTTAGCTGGTGCTGTCATAATCCCTAGGAGGCATATCTGCATATACACTGTTTGTAAGAGTTATGAACTAACTTAGGGGTGTGAAGATTTAAGAGTGAGTTCTCAAGTGCTTTTCTTAGGCCTGTTCAGTCTACCAGGTGGAATTGAGCACCCTTAGTAGCACAGTAATTGATTTATGGGTCAGTGTAACCTGGAGCAGTCATGGAACTTTCATAGCAGTGCCTGGTGAAATAAAGAGTGAATCTTCTTGAAACTGGGGGATTTCTAAACAGGTCTAACTGGAAGGCCACAGTGCTGATGCCTAGGTGATCAGAAAGTATTTTTGGTTTCTATCTTCCAATTTTCAAGGAGGGGGCAGCCAGATTTTAAGCTTTTGTCTGTCTGTCTGTCTGTCTGTCTGTCTGTCTGTCTGTCTCTCTCTCTCTCTCTCTCTCTCTGTCCATATATATGTATGCATATGCATGTATAAATTATATTTGTGTAATCTCATCCACTGATAGGGGTTAGCTTCTCATCTAGTGATGATTTGCTGACAACTTACAGTTTGTAGAGCACATTGTAAGTTAGATAGAGGGGCTTAGTTCTTCTAGGAAGTATGGTTCAAATGAGGCTGTGAGTGTAGAAGGGCAAATATCATAATTGATGAGTAAGGACATGTTTTAGGTGGGTGTGTAATGCAGTAATCCTAGGAAGGATGACTATTCAGAATTCTGTTCAGTGAAGGGACACTTCCTGGGCAATAACAACTTTATTGTTACCTCTTCAGCAGTGTTGAGTTCACTAATTGCTGCTTTTCAGAGTCTGGTTTGTTCATTCTATCTGATCATTGAACTGGCTTGATATGGTGGATAGGTAGCTCTTAATATTAAATTCCATGAAGAGTGCTTACTTATAGTGTGTAATGAACCGTGTATCGGATATGATGTGCTCAAAAAGACCATAAAGGTGGAAAACTTTACAAAGTAGAAAGTGACCAATTTCTGATGAAGTAGAAGATCCAGAATGGTAGAAAGAGGGGCATTTTGGTGAAAGTACCAAACACCGCTATGATTGAGTCCTAGTCTTGGGTTGGGTAGGACTATTATGAAATCTAGGGGATACTGCCGCCCAAGATTATGATGTCATTTGTAACAACAACAATAATAATTGTAATGATAATAATAGCATTTATGTAGTATTTTAAAGTTTACCAAGTACTTTACATATATATTTGATAAGTAGTAATTTTGATATGTAGCAAGAGCCCAATGGGCTTCTCAGCTGGCCAATTTTTCATCGCAAGTACCATCTACCATTGGATGGCCTAGTTTGTCAGGAGAGTTAGAACCTGCCCTTTGCATGAACAGATAGACCTGATAGTGAGGGCAGCACTTCTTATACTGCTATGCTTTAAAAAGGAAGCCCACCAATTTGTCAGCTTACTCTGAAAATATGTGGAGAATCTCAGTGGGCTACGGCTGAGGAGGCTAAGGAAGCTATTGAGGTAACAAACCAGTATTTTTCTTTTTTTTTAATATAAATTTATTTATTTTTAGTTTTCAACATTCACTTCCACAAGTTTTTGAGTTCCAAATTTTTGCCCCATCTCGCCCCTCCCCCCACCCCAAGATGGCATGTATTCTGAATATCCCTTCCCCTAGTCTGTTCTATCTCTCCTCCCTTCTCTTATCCCCTTCCCCTTCTATTTTCCTGTAGAGCAGGATAGGCTTCTATACCCCATTTCTTGTATTTCTGATTTCCCAGTAGCATGTGAAAACATTTTGTTTTAAAACATATGTTTTTAAAACTTTAGGTTTCAAATTTTCTCTCTTCCTCCCTCTCCACCCACCCTCATTGAAAAGGCAAGCAACTCAATATAGGTTATACATGTGCAGTTATGCAACACACTTCCATAGTAGACATGTTGTGAAAAACTAACTCTGTTTCCCTTAATCCTATCCTGCCCTCCCATTTATTCTATTCTTTCTTTTGACCCTGTCCCTCCTCAGAAGTATTTGCTTCTGATTACCCTTTCCCAATCTGCCCTCCTCTCTATCATCCCCCTGCTCTCTTGTCCCTTCCCCCTGTTTTCCTGTAGGGTAAGACAGATTTCCATACCCAATTGAATATGTAATGTTTTTCCCCCCTTAGGCCAAATCCTATGAGAATAAGATTCCCTCATTCCCTCTCACCTTCCCCTGTTTCCCCTCCACTGTGAGAGACTTTTCTTTTCTGTTTTTTTTTGTGTGAGATAATTTGCGCCATTCTACCTCTCCCTTTCTTCTTCTCCAGGTATCATCCTCTCTCATCCCTTAATTTTACTCTCCAGATATGACCCCTTAATCTTCAATTCACCCTGTGCCCTCTATCTATCTATCTATCTGTCTGTCTATCTATCTATCTATCTATCTATCTATCTATCATCTATCTATCTATCTATCTATCTATCTGTCTGTCTGTCTTTCTATCTATACATACATACATACATACATACATACATACATACATACATATAATTTTTTTCCTTCAACTACCCTACTACTGACAAAGGTCTCATGAGTTATAAATATCATTTTTCTATGCACGAATGTAAACAGATCAATCTTAGTAAGTCTCTTATGTTTTCTCTTTCCTGTTTACCTCTTCATGTTCCACTTGAGTCCTGTATTTGAAAGTCAAATTTTCTATTCAGCTCTGGTCTTTTCATCAGGAATGCTTGAAAGTCCTCTATTTCACTGAATGACCATTTTTTTCCCCTGAAGGATTATGCTCAGTTTTGCTGGGTAGGTGATTCTTGGTTGTAATCCTGTCTCCTTTGCCCTCCAGAATATTATATTCAATGCCCTGCAGTCTTTACATTATGTAGAAGCAACCAATTCTTGTTTTATCCTGATTGTGTTTCCACAGCA